ACCACCACACACCACACCACCACACACCAACACACACCACACCACTCCACACCACCACACACCCCACCCCACCATATCCTACCACACCCCACCCCACCGCACAACTGCGTGGCCCAGGCCCTCATGGGGTTGCCAGGTCCCGCTGACACACCCCTTATGAGTCAGGAGGTAGCTAACAGCAAGACTGTGCCGGGGAGGAAAGACACCGGGGACGGCGGGGAGGCCCGGGGATGGAGGTGAGGCCTGGAGGAGGAAGTGAGGCCGGGGATGTACTTTCTCTGGGGACGCCATCCCCTCCCCCACCATCCCTGCAGAGTCAGCGTTGAGGATGCTCAGATGGACATAACCTGGCTTCGTGAAAGGTGGACTTATAAAGCCAGGCATGGATTCTAGGAGGGCCCCATGTGAGCTGGCCTGAGCATCACAGCCAGCCTCTCATGTCCCCTCAGTAAAGAAGCTGTGGGTGTAGACCCCAGAGGCCCAGCCTGGCCCAGCCCCTAAGCCAATGGCTCATGGGCCAGTCAGAAATGGCCCTTAACACACTGCTGGACAGCAGCCAAATAGGGGGAGTGAATAGAGTTAGGACGCAGGGCAGGATCCAAGATACCACCAAAGACAGAAGGGACAGTGGTCTGCTTTGAGTCAAGAGAAACGCAGAGATTTGGTAAAGGATGTACTAGACATGTATTGGCTCTCAGTGTGCCTGGGTTATAATTAGGAGTTTGCCTTTCTTTCATCCAACTCCAACAGTGCCCTGCCACCTCTAACAAAGGACCGAAATTGAGGTATGTGCTTTTCTTGATAAAGAATTACTAGAAGAGGGTTGGATGGTACAGTTGTGTACACCCGTAATCCCAGCTACTCAGGAGACCAAGGCAGGAGGATTGCAGTTTGTACAATGGAACAGAAGACAGCATGAGCTCAAAGTTAGTGTGAGACTCGGTCTGAAAAAGTAAATTCACAAGGGCTGGACAGGTGGCAGAATCACCACCTCACATGCACAGGCTCTGAGTTCAAACCCCAGTATGACCTCCCCCAAAAGAAGAACCTCTGGGAAAGAATAAGAAATGGTCAGCGTGGGCCAAATGGAAATCCACTCCAGGGGAGTCCTCACACACATACAAATCACTGGCACCCTGATGTCAGTCTCTTGTTTTTTTACGTCCAAGAACTGAGAAAGTGATCTGCTCACGGCTGTGCTAAATGGGGGTGATGGGGGAGGAAGGACAATTCTGATTTGTAATCAAGTTCACACCCTGATTACACATTTCAATCACAAAGCGTTGCTCTGCTTCTTAAGGGACACCTTCCTGGCTATAAGCTAGTGGGTCCTGTGGCTGAACAGGGCCTCTGGTTTCCAGCGAAGCCCGGCTCTCCCCTGAGGGGTGAAGTCAGCCCCCCACCCCGGGAGGGTTGTGCAAAAAGAGATCACAGACTTCCCTGGAGGAGTCACAAGGGCTCAGACGGAGAGTGTTTGATAAACAGACTTGAGGATTCCCAGGATGGAGGAGAACCAAGATTACATCTTTCATCTTTGTGCTTTAATCAAAATCAAAGCCAGACCCAGCATCCCAGGCCACAGAGAAGGGTCTCTGGGCCGGGTGCCTCAGCAGGGAGCCGGGCTGGGTGGAAGCAGAGGCCATTGCTCAAAGAGAAAGGCTGGACAGCTCGGGGCAGCATGCTGGCCTGGAACCGTGAATGGAAGTGTCCTCTCCCAGCCCCTGGGGAGGCTCAGGCATATGGCGCCATACAGAGCTGTGCCGTGCCTGGTTTTCTAAGAGCGTGCCCAGCACGTGGGGAGCCTGGAGCTGCCGCCGGCCTATGGGCTGTGCCGAGCACACATGGTTTATGGTTGTTGACGCTCATCGATAGGTTTTCAAAGTGCTGTGAGTCTAGTCCTATGTAGGAACCAGGACACCCTGGCTGCACAGCATCTCAGAGCCCAGCCCCTTCCCCTCTCACCTGTGAGACACGATGTGTCGGGAGCCTCAGATGCACGTTTGTAAGTGGGTGGTATGCACGGCATCTTGCATGAGAGATCACTGTGCATGGGGGGGGGGGACATGTACAGGAAAGCACCCTGAAATCCTCCACACAGGTGGCTTGATGCCCAAGTGCAGGACAGAGCCTGCGTGGTGGACCACAGAGGGCGACACAGGAGGAGGTGGCCTGGGTTCTGGGCACTGGCTGTCCTGCGGAGGACTATTGAGCTTGCAGGAGAGCTGACCAGGGAGATGCCACGTGAGCACTCGTTGTGGAGAAATCAGCCTTCAGACCCAGCGGGTTCTCACAGTCAGATTAGGTGGCTGGGACCTGGAGCCTGCATGAGCTAGCCTCGGCTCGACCAGCCTGGGGGCTCAGCCTTTGCCTTTGGGTCTTCCCAGCCAGGATGCCCAGAAGGGCGGCTGTGGTACCCTGAGGAAGCGGCTCCCAGAGCTCGGGGTGGTGATGTGATGAACCCAGGCTCCTGCACACACGGCAGGTACAGGTGCGGTACAGCAGGGAGCTTGGAGACACTGTCTAGGGCTAGGCAACAGCATACCCCAGCCCTTCCCACCCTGGGCCAGGAAGATGTGCTTCCTGGACCTGAGAGATGGCTGTGTTTGGCAGAAACCAAGCTGGAGTTGAAGGGGCATTTGTGATCTAATTGGCTAACCTGCCAGGAATTGCTGACACAATGACCTGCTTCCAAAAGCAAATGCTGGGACCTTCTGCCAGCAGTAGGGAAGGGTGTCGACAGATGTTT